TTATAATGGCCACCGTGCCAATAACTTGCCTTCAAAAGCATTGTCACAAGATCCAAAGATCCAGCCACTAAACCATTGGCATGTTGTCGAGGCTGAAAACCACCACTGAGATACATTTAAAAAGACAATAAAAACTTAAAACTATAAACATAAATTCAAGATAACTCTTGGAGTCCATACATTATTTATGATTGGCCCAATATAGGGTAAAATGCGTGAAGACAATGGATGAATGCAACCGGGAGCATTTTTCATTGCCTACAGGAAAATCCACAAGGATTTAAAAAATACACAAATAAATAATAAATATGAATAAACAAATACGTCCTTTTACCTCACTAATTAATCAATTTTACAAGTTACTGTGCCTAGAATGCATAACAGATAACATAAACAATCTAAGACAAAAAAGAACAGAAGCAAAGATAAAATATGGGAAAAAGAAATCTGATCTACAAAATCCAAAATTCATCAGTGGTTTCTGAAAAAGTGTGTATTGCAGAAACAACTAACGGAAGGACCAACTTCTGCAGAACATTTAGGGAAGGAAGGAAAGCATAGGCCTTGATTATAGTCATTCAGCCTGAACTCAATAACTAAAACTCTAAAATAACAACCCAAAGTTTTCTAATTGTAATGCTTGTTAACCATAAGTTGAAAGAGAAAAGCTACAATTATGAACAAGGGAAAAAGAAAAAGAGAGAAGGGCTCATGCAAGAAAGAAGAATGTGCTTCAATATAAGATGAAAATAATCAACCACATTCATATTATTACCTCTAAGACCTCAATAATGTCAATACTAATGAAAGGATCTGAAACATGCAACACCCACAGATTAAGGATTACAGGAGAGATAATTGGCTCTACAGAAGCTGAAACTTCACGACCTACGATGTAGAAAAATAAAGAGAGAAGAAACATTAAATATATAGCCAAATAACCTTAACATGAAACTACAAAGTAGATCAAATTCAAGAAAAACAAACTATTTCACGCACCAGCCTTGATTGCTGCTTGTAGTGTTTCAAGTACCAGGATTAAAGTTTCATCAGATGCCTATACAGCACAATCAAACAAAGGTTACCAAACCAATTCAAGATTACACTACAGGAAATGCTAGTAATTTTACCTGATGAAGAAGATCAGTAAGGGATGAAAACAGGCCCATCAGTTGAGGCATAATAACTCCTTTATTTGCTTCAGGTAGGAGCAGCGAAAGTGCCCGACAGGCACCTACTTTCACAGATGCAGGACTGTTTACAGAAAACCTTAATGATGAGAATTATTTTATCCTACTGCACACGGAGAATAATTAAAAGACTGATGGATCATTCAGTACACCTACACATCTATGCCAGTGGTTTTAATAGCTGTGTGGAGGAAATGCTCAAGAACTCCAGTGCTGATCTGAACAGTTTACCAGGAAGTTAATAAAAGACATACAGAAAAATGGACCTTAAAGATAATAAGAGATTGTAAATTACCACAGTAGAGAACTTGGCAACTGCTGCAAATATACGAGCATAAAGAAATGGACATTCATGTACCCCTGGAAAGCATTACCACAGACTATACTCATTGATTTGAAAAGGTGAATTTAAAAGCAGAGGGAACACAACATGAAATATAAATATGAAATAACAAAAAATAGGACATACAGCATGAACGAAGTTACAATAACATATTATAGGAATCTAACTTCTTCTAAAAGTTCAATTCTTACACAGATTGAAATTTTTAGAGAAATCTCCCTATAAAACAGAATCAAAGTCAAATTCCATAAATAAAAGATTTTTCTTTTACGGGAATTGTATTTAGTTTTCTATTAAAATTATCTCTAATCTTCTCTTATATATATATATATATATCTAATGTTGTAAATTAAATATCATGAATAAAAATTTAATAAATATAAAATTTAATTACAATTTCTTATCGTATCAATATAGGATTTCATAATCGCAAAAAAAAATTCTCTCTATCTAAAGTCACATCTGTATCTAATGAAATTATTTCTATCAGACCATTCGAATCAGAAACCACACAAATCTCAATCACCATCCACAAGCTAAATGGAAACAACTGCATTCAATGATTTCAATTGGCCAAGATGTTTATTTGCGGAATAGGGCGGGAAAAAACAACTCAACAGAGTAATCACTTAACCCAAGTGCCGAGGATCCAAAATTTCAAACTTAGAAGGCCGAGAATAATCTGCTCATTCTGCGGTTGATTAACTCCACAAAAAATATTTTTGGTGAGAAATTTTTGTTCTACGAGACGACATATGAAATTTGAGAAGCAACCAAGAAGTTTTACTTGAGCAAAGAAAACACATTAGAAATTTTTGCGAATCTAGTCTCCACGAATTGTCACAAGGAAACCTATCCGTAAGATAGTATTATGGTTTGTCTACCCATCACTGGCAACGGCTTGAAATGTATTTAGAAATTTGTGTAGAGTTGTCCAGATGATGCAAAATGGTACAAAGAAATTCTGGAAAAAAAAAAATTCAAATTTCTCATGAGATTGAATAAAAATCTAAATGAAATCCAGAGAAAAATACTCAGAATGAAACTATTACCTTGAATTTGTGAGGTATTCTCCGAACTAAGGACAGAAATAGAAAAAAGATAATGTTGGGAGATGGATTCACAAGTCCTACTACTAAGCAAAACTCTGCTTTAACTGTCCAGGTCCCTCGTTTCAACTCAGACAACTGGCAAAGATAGGAAAGGTGTAGGTATGATCATTGTAAAAAATTAGATCATACTCGAAACAATTGCTGGAAAAATCATAAAAAACTAGCTGATTTGAAGACCAAAAAATCAACCATAGACAAAAAAAGTAAGGAAAATCGTGTTTCTATTTATGAAGGTGTCTCTTCTAAAAAATCATACCCATTCAGCAAAGAGCAGATAAAAGCCCTCCAAAAAATATATACCTACATCATAGGACATGAGACAACAGTTCAAAAGATAATTCTTTTAATGCTCTCAATGTTATTTCAGGAAGTCAAGATACTTGGATCATTGACTCAGAAGCATTTGACCACATGACGGAAAATAAAACATTATTTCAAGAATATACTCCATGCAAAGAGAACATCACCGTTTTAAAAGAGTGGCCGAAATAGGTGATATCCTCATTTTAAAAGAGTTAACCTTAAAAGGAGTATTTCATGTACCGAATTCAAAATGCAACTTGTTATCAGTAAGCAAACTTATCAAAAATTATAACTATATTGCTAAATTCCTTAAACTTACGTGAATTTTGGTATTTCGATTTGAGGAGGATGGTTGGTAAGGCAAAAGTGTATTGCGAGTTCTTTCTCTTCAAAAAATGGATCTTTCAAAAGACAATCTCATAATACAATATGTATTGAGTCTCAAGACAGTTCAACTTACTTAGATAATTTTAGTACAATTGTGTCACATTATCTATTGGAATATCCAAACTTTACATAACTTTAAAAATTATTTCTTTCTTTATTAAGAAATAAAAATTCAAAAACTTCACTGTGAATCATTTTAATTGTTAAAACATACTCACATGATTATCCTACAGTACATTATAAAGCCTCTACCTTTTGTTACGGTACATATTAATGTCTGCGACCATCTAAAATCAATAACATTACTAGTACTAGGTGGTTTATATTTTTCGTAAATGATCATATAAAAATTACGTAGCTATTTCTCATGTGAAAAAAAATAAAAAAATTGGTCATATATTCAGAAATTCAACAATATGATCTAAACTCAATTTTAGAAAAAAATACAAGTGTTGAAGACATGTAATGCAAAAGAATACTTTGAAAAAGAGTTTGATATGTATCTTAAAAAAACGTTGATTATTCATCAAAACTCATGTGTTGATACTTCACAACGAAATTGGATAGCCAAAAGGAAAATTAAATAACTTGAAAGTTGTCCGATCCAACATATTTACAACTCAAGTTCCAAATATTTCTAGGAGAAGTTGCCCTAACTGCAACTTATCTTATGAGTAGAATGTTTTTCCGAGTTATTGAATTTCAAACACTTTACAAGTTATGCTCCAATACTTTCCTACCACCCAACTTCTATCTACCCTACCTATCGAAGTCTTTGGTTGTTCAACTTTTATTCACCTATACAACCATCACAGAAGCAAACTAAACCCCAAATCAATAAAATGCATCTTTCTTGGGTATTCATCAAACCAAAAGAGATATAAGTGTTATTCACCAATAACTCGAAAGTTCTATAAATCTATGGATGCCACTTTTCATGAAAACCAACCATATGAAACATTTGTATTTATGGGGAGAAAAATACACAAAAATCTCAATTTTGAGACTCTAATATTGAATATCTTCATCCACAACTAAGATCAAGATGGAATACTTGGACCTGAACCTACTCATCACAGCAAAAACCTGAACTTTGGGTCTACGCCAGAAGGAACAAGAACCAATAAGAGAAAGAACCACCACCACTGCCTAATAAGAGTCATGAATCTAATCCAGATCCAGAACTAATATCACTGAATATTTCAGGTAACCCAAGTTTAGATATCTCCCTTGATAATCTACATGATGATAGATCTATTGTCTTAAGGAAACAAAAAAGAGCATGCACTCACAATTCATAATTTTGTTTCATACAAAGGTTCGTTATCAACTCGTCAAATATTTGTCAGTAATATTGATAAAATATAAATACCAATGACAATATATAAAGTGTTAAAAATATCTGAACAGAAAATTACAACCATAGAGGAAATCCAAGTATTAGAAAAGAATGAGACTTGGAAAATAACATAATTACTACCTGAGAAACAACCAGTTGATTGTAATTGGATGCTCTCAATCAAGCATAATGTTTATGATGGTATCAACAGATTCAAAACTCGATTAATAATTAGAGACCTTACTCAATTCTATGAAATCAATTATCAGAAGATATTTGCACTTAGTAAAGTTTAATACAGTCTAGATACTAATATCTTTAATTGTCAATCTAAATTAACCACTATTCCAACTAGATATGAAAAAAGTTTTTCTTAATGGAGATTTGGAGGAAGAAGTCTATATAAAGATATCACTAGAATTTGAAAGTCAAATCCTAACCGAAAGGTCTACATACTCAAAAAATTCTTATATTTATTCAAACAATCTACAAGAACATGGTTCCACAAATTCATTAAGGCAATCAAGAGCTTTGGATATAATCAATGTCAAACAGATCATACTATGTTTGTCAAGTATAATCCTTTAAGAAAAAGGACAATCTTCATCATATATGTAAATGGTATAATAATTACAGGGAATGACGCAAAAGAAATACTCAAAGTAAAAAATGTTTTAAATAAAGAATTTAATATTAAAAATCTCAAATATTTATCAAAAATAAAAATCGCTATATAAAGAAAAGAAATCTTAGTCTTTCAAAGAAAATATGTATTGAATTTCTAGAAGAGACTAGAATGTTTGGACGTAAACCCGCAGACACACCCACAGTTCTCAGCATTAAATTGGGAAGTAATATCAATAGTGCTCTAATTGGAAAAGAAACATACTAATGTTCAGTTGGTAAATTGATTTACCTACCACATACCAGACCTCATATCAATTTTATCTTTAGTGTGCTAAATCAATTTATGAATAACTCGACTGAAAAACTTATGGAGGCAATGTTTCGAACTCTCAAGTATCTACAAATGATAGTTGGACAAAAATTATTTTTCAAGAAAAACAGAATTCAAGAAATTAAAATATATATTGATTAGACTGAACTGATTATATAACTGATAGAAGATCTACCTCTAAATACTGTACATATATCTCGAGAAACCTAATTATTTGGATAAACAAAAAGTAACCAATGGTATCAAGAAATAGTGTTGTGACTAAATTTAGACCTTAGCACATTGTGCCTATGAAAGAATGTGACTACAAAGAATACTGGTGAATTTCATAGCCTATGAAAGTGTTTTGTAACAAGAAATCCACAATAAGTATAAAAAAGAATCAAGTTCATCATGATCGAACTAAGCATGTGAAGATCGATGGATACTTTGCTAAATAAAAATTGAGACATGAGCTATCCTTGTGGCACATTCAATCTTACCATCAAATTGAGGATATTTTCACTAAGACATTACCTAGGAAGACTTTCAAAGAAATGAGTTTCAAACTTGGTTTAATTAACTTCTTCAAACTAGCTTGAGGGGAAGTGTACTGATCTATCTTCTTGTAAAAGTCTAATTTTTATAAAAATTGGTACCTTTAGGGAAATCTCCCTATCAAGAATAATCATAGTCAACTTTTATAACTAGAAAATTTTTTTTTTTTTATAAAACTGATTTGTATTTAGTTTTCTATTAAAACTCTCTCTAATCTTTTCCTATACATATTTAAAAATTGTAAATTAAGTAACATGAATAAAATTTCAATAAACAGAAATAGTTACAAATTCTCACATACCAGAACCAATATCTTCAGTGATTATCTGCTCTATAAGGTTACCTAGGTTAATGTTGGTCAGACCTGAACCCTGGGGAAACAAATTTAATAAAACATACATCGCTTGAGTACTAATATAAAATGGAATAAATTGAGGAAAAAAATGACAGTTGCCTTCCAGATCAAAAATCACTGTGCACAAACCTCTGCCTCAAGCAGGTGATCTGACAAAGAAGCCAAAGCAAATAAAGCAGCCTCTCTTTTCTGCCAAAAGTTATAATACAAAACTAAGCAGGAAAACTATAAAGATACATGCAGAGACTAAGTTGCTTCAAGCAAGGAAAAAGAAAATGTTAGAAATCACCAGAAAGAGTCTCCTACGAGGATTCTTGGCATGATTAAGGGCAATATAAATACACAAACACTTATGTGCTTCAGATTTTATCCAGTTATAAGGTAGGCAACTCATCTCCCATTTAAGTTAAAAATTTACGGTCAAATGCAATTCGCATTTTCAATTATAAAGTAAGATGCCTCAACCATCTCACACCAACATCATAACTGTGGCAGTCACTAAAAAATTAACCATGAATTCAGTGGTTTACACGATTTTAGCGCAGATGTTTGGAAAAAAAATAAAAAAATAAAAAAATAAAAAGAACTGACCCAAGGACACTTTAAAAAGAAAGATAAATAGAAGGAAACAATTGCTTCTCTCAAAGAGGTGCAGAAAACCTCTTAACAACATCCTTTAAGACGCAGAGAGAAACAATAATAGTTTTAAGAACTACTTAGGTTCGTATATCATGAAATTTGCTGACAAAAGATTATCTACTGGTATAAGTTCCCAAGGTCATGAGCTCTACTTTTCTTAATATACCCATCCACGTGGCCTAGCAAGTTGAGCACATCAGTATTCAAATAATTCTTAGGCAAATGACAGTTTCATCAGTATTTCTTTTATTCAAATTAAAATAAAACTAATATTACATAATGGCATGAATTGGTTACTTTATGCAAGGGAAAGACTATAAAGATCCATCCAAAAGAAAAACAAGCTTTTCTGAGACCAGGATGATCACAGGAAATTGCGAGTTCCTATTTCCGCCTATGTCATTTGCAATTACCCTAATTTTTTTTTCTTTCATTTAAATATTCACAGTTACCCTAGTTAACATGTGCTGATGTCAAGTTTCCCAGCAGCAATGAATTAATTTAGACCTCTCAGCTACAACCATAAGCCACTATTTCGCACCCTGGAATCTTAGAAATTCACTGTCAGAAGGGAGAGCTAATGTGGGAAAGACAACAAAAGAAAAGAAGAGTACCAAAACAGAAGTATATGTAAGGCAAAATTGCTCCGCCAAAACTTCCAAAAGAATAGAATAACAACTAGCTGAATAATTATTTTAGAAAACCACTTACTCTCCACCAAACTGCTGAACCAGTAACCTTTTCTTCTTGAGATTCACTTACTCGTTTCCTCACAGCATCTATAATAGCTTCAGTACCTTCTCTACCAGAAGAAGTCACAACCTCTTCCAGTAAAAGTGCACCTGTAACAATTAATTTCTTATGGGTAAGCAAACAAAATAGATAAGAACTTGGATACAGATAAGCTATAGACCCTATACATGAACTGCATGTAATAGTACAACCACAATAGAAACCCTCTAGGATTTGTCACAAAATGGATCCATTAAGCTCCATTTCAAGGGATAACTCATGGAGACAGGTTGCACAGCTGAGTTATGAGGAAGAGAAAGCAAGAAATTCTGTACATCTTGGATGATTTCACAGAAAATATGAGTTTCTATCGGGATCAATTGGGCAGAAAAAGAACAGCAAAGAAAAATGTGCCTCTGCAGCACTTTATATATTGTTGGGAAGTAAGGTGCCTCTTTAGTAGCTGGCATCATAGGCAATCTGGCTACCAGCTTCATGGAAGGTAACTTCCTCCTTTCACTATCGAAAATTGCCTTTTATTATTTTAAGAAAAAGGTAAGCATATATTAACAGGCAAACCAATGGCGTGCAACCTGAATGCAAACAACTCTAGAAATAAATCAAAATGTCACTGATATCTAATAAGTACTCGACAAAATTAAAATTATGACCCTTGAGGATGTATTGCAGCAAATTAAGGGATAAAGGTGAAAAATAAAAAACAAAATAAAAGATAAATTCAATTTATAATCACAAGAATTGGCTACAATCACCAATTATATGGTTGTCACAACCACAATCACAAGGTTCTTAGGTACTCAATTCAATGAGAGAAAATCAATAATATATTCATAAGCAATTTCCTCAATAACGATGAACCATCCATATGCTTCTAGGATGTCTTCTACGAACCCAATAACACGATGCTTATAACTAAATCAAGAGATTCATCACTAGATGATGCAATTTGTTTGTTGAAAATTACATCTTCCACAATCTCCTAGATTACTGCATCTATCAACTTCCTCTTATCAGTTGGACAATCAATAGTAACACCTTCAATTACCTCATTTATTTAATTGCTTTCATTAGTTGAATTGTCATAACCACATTATCTTCCTTCCTAGGCAGAGATAGGTCCTGGTATATGGTGGTTAATCCATCACTTTAATCCTACAGGGAAGTTTCTGACAATTTTATTGTCTGCACCAAAGAAGTTTGAGCTTAGCACAACTTCAAGAACTTCCCCTATTGACCAATGACCTAGTGCCAAAACTTTTTCACTACTTGCATACCATAAGTTGCTCCAAGTTTTCTTTGAGAGGCTGATTCTCCAAAGAAGGATTCAAATTTCCTTGAATTGGTACTTTAAGTAGTCTTCATATGTAGGCAACTTAGTAAATTTGACCCATGGTTATAGGAGACTGCTGAATTAATCCCTTTTAATATCAATTCTTAATCGTGCTCTAAATTGAGATATTGTTAGACTATCACTTTCTACCAACTGACTTGGAATCTTCAACTCTTCAAATTTTTGCATACACTCAGTGATCGACTTAGTAACAAATCTCATAAAATAGCTTGGAAGGTTAGTCAAGTGTGGCTTTCATCTCATTGTCAAGTGTGGCTTTCATCTCATTTCATGTTTCGAGTTTCATTTGCCATCTTCTTGTTGAATTCTCATCAACATTGTACAATCATATTGTTATGAGTCCAACCAATCTTATTTTGATAAATCTGATCCTCTGTACATCTTGTATGCCATATCAATTGAGTATTCGTCCATTGAGTTATGCCAATTAAAACAGGAATTAAGATCTCTTCTTCCATCAAAATCAGGAGCTTTCACCTTTTCATAATATCCCAACATTATCTTCAACATGTCTCATATCAAGAGCACTAGGTCAACTTGCAGGTTTTGAATTGGTGGGGTTACTTGTGCCCTAAGTGTTCAAGTTCTTCCAAATTGCACTAGTTGTGTTTTGCAATATTCGAGTCTGGTATTAGTGTTTTTCTCATATGCAACATGTCAACATTCTATTCAGGGTTAGACACCACCATCAAAGCTAAAATTTTCTTGAACTACTGTCAGATTGGTCTTTTGGAGGCAGAAAAACAAGGAACCAGTCTGATCAAACATGGCGATCAGAGAAATCGAAACAGGTTAAATCAAGTGAGTCCTACACATGGCTTGGCATGCATGTGGTTCATGCACTGGCTTTCAAGCACCGAACAACAATGGGCTTTTGTCAGTCGACTTGATTTCAATGGAGGTTGCAAATTGAAGGTTGGTTTGAGATGAATTGTGCTAAAAGGACAAGAACAAGAGAGGTAGTAACTAGGTAAACTTGCAAAAACAAGTGGTGCATTTTTCAACGAAGTTTCGCAGCAAGGCTTTAGGGTTTTGACAATCAGGCCTTCTAAGGCTAGTGATAGCAGCAGCTGTTTGGAGTTTTTTCTTTTGCAGTTTGGAGTTTTCATAATTTTTGGCTTAGAAGATTAGTTTTGGCCGTGATACAAACCAATATAGGATAAATTAGAGTTAATTTGCCCATTTAGGAATTTGGGTAAAGTCTAGATATCACAACTATGGTTCTTAAATATCAAGTTTAAAATTTGATTTAATCACACAATTAAGTATCGAGAAAACTTTCGAAGCATTTTACCCAATAATTGATCAATCATCTTAAAGGAGACTACAAATGTATTTATGGAGTGTCAAGGAATCATTTTTTGAATTTAGGAGGATCCCTAGATTGACAATAGCTCATTAGCTAGTTGGCTCCCGCACTTAGTTTAATAAATCTACATCTCCTAATCTCACTACCTCTTACTTTGCTAGTCATATGGATAGGAATATCTCCTGGCGTTTTTCAGAAATCAAAATAATCAGGAGACCATTGACATGCTACCCTTACTAAATCTCGTAAAAAATTTCCATTATTCTCACTACATTGATGGCACAATCTAGACCTTACATCCCCTGGAACTCACACAAGCAAATTTTTTTTTTCCATCATATTATCTATAAACCAACTGCTACATACTTCATTTACTAACTTGCTTCTGAAAGTGAAAGTTATTTGAAGGTCAAGGTTTTTGCTTGAACTGTTGTTTTTAACAACCTCAAATTAATCAGTTGTTGCAAATTCGTAGGTTTAGCCGTATTCTTTCACCAGATTTTGTCTTATCTGCTTTAGGAAGATGGGGGCTTGTAAACATATAGTCCACCATGTGTGGCTTGGAAGTTGTAAACCAGGCTGTTTGATACCTGTCGACTGGTGGACCGGGCTATTTCAACAGACATTTATGTTATATGTTTACTGGACTGCTTCTTGAACTTAAACTTATACAGTGAAGGGGTAAAGAATAAAGCTAAAATCCTTTAGTAAGGTACATTTTTTGCAGGTCTGTGAGCACTGTGGCTAGAGTAAAAGCACAGAATTTTTGGACAGTACTCCCTTTTTAGCTCTGACAGGACAAGTGAAATTTCTCGCCCCTTTAAGGCTAAAGCTCTTCGCCAGTTTGCTGATATTTCATTTCTGCGTTACAAAGAAATAAGGGGCGATACTGCACTGAGTTTGTGATCTTTGTTGTTTTCGTAAATGTTTTCGGTCTTCAAAACAAAGAAGACTCTTGGAGGATATCTTATCTTCCATGATTGTCTTTTCCTTTCTATCTTTAATGAGATTTCTTTCTTATAAAAAAATACTAATAAGATTAAGAATTCTACTCCTGATAAAGATAGAAAAACAGAACACAAACAAACTAGGAAACATAAAAAAATAACCTAAATGATATCATTCTTAAATAGTAAATTACTACTATGCATATGCACCCCCATCTTTACATCATCCAAGATATCAATATTTTATTTGTAAGCTTCCAAGACCTTCCCAAATTCCATTTTCCTAAATGACCAAACATCATCCAAAAGGAAGCCAGTAACATTTCATATACAATATCATGCATGGTCACCAAACTTATGCAACAAACAACTTAGGAAATGCTTACCAGAGACACGACAACTGTAAGTAGCATCATCTTCATCAGCAACGAATTGATTGGCATCCATTGACCAAGTACGAACCTAGACAGCAGTCATATGAGTAGAGGAAAAAGAACAAACCAAGAAAAGAACCTTCTTCCTGGAAGATCATACGTATAGCACTAATGCCCAGGTCCACAAAGTTCAGTGATCAAACAAATAGCAAGACCATAAAATGCAGAATTGCATGCACCATGACTCACAAGGACCAAAAAAGCACCATACAGCCAGGCTACAGCACCACAAATATCCACAAATATTGTTCTCACCGATCCAATGCTAAAGCCAATACAATCTTCTTCCTTCCTTTTTTCTATACATCTTAAATAGAGTAACTACAATTTTCTCTATAAATATTAAATATTGCTATCATTTTTTCTGTAAGTATTAAACAGAGAAGACTACTATAACAAGTCAGGTGCATTAAACCAAAGTACATCCAGTTAACAGTTTTTATATTTAAAACTTTTAGTGGCCCCAATTGAAACATATTGTCCATTAATACCCACTCACATTATCAATTTCTCACATGCAAAGGCTTTTCATGAATCATGGATTCAAACAATTGACCTAAACTTAAATTAGTAAAAGCATCAAGAGACAAGATCTTAATACACAATCTATTCCATTGTAGCAGTCACGAAACTAGAAATTAGTTAGTGAGGGGATAGATATGATTTATTGTAAAAAATTTGTGAGTGTGCCAGAGTTGTTTTTTCTTAATTACCATTAGACATTTTATCTTATACATTTTTAACATATAATTTACTTTTACTTATTTATTTTATTTATACGCATATTCATGTACAAAAGTTATTATTATTATAGAAACACTAAGAGAAAGTTACAATGAACATATTTGAAATGATTTACTTCTATTACTTACATATAAAAAATACAAAAAAATTGAAAGAAGCTACTATATATGTATAAATATTAAGGATAAAAACTAAACAAGGGTTCTGGGCAGTCAAAAAAATAGAGAGGTTCTAATTGTCCTTTACACCAAACTACATATTAACTCATGAAGAAGCAAAAAGTAAGGGCAGACATCACAAACCTGCTGATCGGTCATCTGCAAGAAAGCAATTGTGTAATATACCAAATCCTTGATATTATTTGCAATGACCTGAACAAACATAAAAAATCTTAATTTTTTTTGGAGAAAATCTCACAACTTCAGTACCAAATATAATGAAAAAATTAGTGGAGATACAAGTACTATAAACAGTTTGGCACTGCACCTTTACCAGCTTTGCACTACCGATCATGGTCAAAAGAAACTCCAGTAACTGTAGATTGAAATTATGCAAGAAATCAACCAAGTAATCCTAAACAAGAATCTTAGAGAAAACAAAAAGATTTGAGGACAAAAAGCAGAGACGAACGTATATGAAACTGTAACACACACTAAAGATGTGATGAAATACTTCAGAATCCTGAATCATCGAGAAAATCTTTCTTTTAATTATTGTCCCAGCATCCACAACTATTTTTCACAAAGACATTTCGCTATTTTCCTTTAGAAAAAAAAATTTGTTCGCCAGAGACCAAGGGGTTGCCATCCAAATTAGAACTCCTAAAGATTTAATAAGAAAACAGATGATTCCAAAGTGTATATAATATCTTCTGCATTTACACAATTATTTCCACTAAAGCAAAAATTTTAAGGTAAGAAACCATTTGTCCTAAGGATGTAACCCTATGTTTGGTTCCCATTCCATTTCCTCTCAATTCCCAGCTTTCATTACATGTTACTTTTAATATATAGATTTTCAACATGTTCTACATTTAATTTCACCATAACCCTCATCTTGAATTGAAAATATATTCCCACTTTAATTCATAGGATTTGAATTACCATCCCCAAATAATTTTAAGTAGGGGAAGATGTGGGGTGAGATTAAGCATACAAATAATGTTTAATTTTATATATCAAGACTAATATGAAGATTAGAATTGTAGATTAGGTAAGCATAAAATGGGAATAGAATGGAAGTTGAATCTAACACAGCTTAAAGAAATTTTCACCAACTCAGAGGCCTCTAAACCTCTTATCTCAAAACCACACAAATCAAGGATAAACAATCAGTGGCTCTTTTCCATTCTCTAGGAGTTCCATCTCAATTGATAAAAACACAGCCTACATCATCCCAATAATTGTGTAAGCCATTTCTTAAGATGTACGGTCCAAGAATAAGGCAAAAGAAGATGGTTAGAGGTTTCAGCATCTCCTTCCAAAAGGTTACACAACTTTTAGTCGAGAAAATTTTTCTTTTTTGAGTTGTCAATAGTCCAAGAAACAGGAATATCTTACTTGCTTTAGTCTGCAAATATAATAATCTATACCTGGATGATGAAGGAATCAAGGCTTTTCTCAACGCCATCCGAGTCATAGCTTCCATCATATGGATCTTCTATACCTTCTATTGATGACCGCACATATACTTGAAGAGATGAAACAAATGTCTGCCATAAAGGCCCCATGATAACTGAAGCATTAAAGGGTGTCAAAGAGAGGAAAAAAGAAAATTGATATTGACAAGAAAAAATCATAAAGAAGCAAATACAATCAGGTTTTAACATATGGGCATCCAACATACCCATAAATTCTCTTTCAGCCAGACCAGGGAAATTCTGAACAACCTGGTTCAAGCATTTTAAAACCTAGGTATATAGAAAGAAATGGAATGCCAATAATCAGTATATTTTTTTAAAACATCAAAAACAAGACAACGGAATAACTGGCCCAAATGCATAACCAACCTCCATTCTGATGCCCCAGTCATCAGGATCTTCAGGTAAAACTGGTTGTTCCAAGATGGCAGAGAATTGATCCAACCATGGCTTCAGCATTGGTATCATTAAAGCAGCTGTTTCTGTCTGAACATAATATACATTAGATACATATATCTGTAATAGAACAAGCTGAATTAAGTCACATGCAAAGCCATGCATCCAAACAAAGAAATATCAAAAGA